GCTTCTCCTCCATTGTCCTTCAGTTCCTCCATCATCTCCTCTTCTTCTATCTCCTTTATCCTCCTCCAACCTTCCCCATCTCCTCCATCCTTCTCGTCTCCTCCATCCTTCTCATCTCCTCCATCCTTCTCCATCTCCTCCATCTTTTTTCATCTCCTCCATCCTTCTCATCTCCTCCATCCTTCTCCATCTCCTCCATCTTTTCTCATCTCCTCCATCTCCTATATCTTTCCCCATCTCCTACATCCTTCCCCATCTCCTACATCCTTCTCATCTCCTCCATACTTCATCATCTCCTCCATCCTTCTCCATCTCCTCCATCCTTCCCCATCTCCTCCATCCTTCCCATCTCTCCATTATTCCTCATCTCCTCCATCTCCTCCATCCTTCTCCATCTCCTCCATCCTTCCCATCTCCTCCATCCTTCCTCATCTCCTCCAATCTTCCCCATCTCCTCCATCCTTCCTCATCTCCTCCAAATCCTCCATCCTTCTCCATCTCCTCCATCCTTCCTCATATCCTCCATCTCCTCCATCCTTCCTCATTTCCTCCATCCTTCTCCATTTCCTCCAATCTTCCCCATCTCCTCCATCCTTCTCATCTCCTCCATCTTTCCCATCTCCTCCATCCTTCTCATCACCTCCATCCTTCCTCATCTCCTCCATCTCCTCCAATCTTCCCCATCTCCTCCATCCTTCTCCATCTCCTCCATCCTTCCTCATTTCCTCCATCCTTCTCCATTTCCTCCAATCTTCCCCATCTCCTCCATCCTTCTCATCTCCTCCATCCTTCCCATCTCCTCCATCCTTCTCATCTCCATCCTTCCTCATCTCCTCCATCTCCTCCAATCTTCCCCATCTCCTCCATCCTTCCTCATCTCCTCCATCCTTCTCCATCTCCTCCATCCTTCTCATCTCCTCCATCCTTCTCATATCCTCCAGTCTTCCCCATCTCCTACATCCTTCCCATCTCCTCCATCCTTCCTCATTCTTCGACATCTCAATTCCTCGTCCTTTTCCATCTCCTCCAGCACTTCCTCTTCTTTCTCCTTTCCTCCTTCTCCTTCCTTTTCTCTTCCTCTTCCTCCTCCTGCCTTATTCCTCTCCTCTTTCTCTACTTCTTCATTTTCTTCCTCCCTCCCCTTCCTTCTCCCCATTTCTTTTGTTACTCTTCCTCATCCTCCTCTGTCTTCATCATCCAGCCACTTCCATGCCCTGGGTACCTGAGTTGGACTCATTCCTTTATCATATGCACATCTAATTTCCCCTACAACCCACTAATAACTCCCATTGTATGCCCATTTTACAGAGGGGACAGACCTTGAAATGGCCTGCCCATGGTCACATAGAAAGTTAAAGGGCTGAGCTGTGAGTCTGGGTTTTCTGACTCCAAAATCCACATTCTCACCTCTGCACTAGGTGAAGGAGCAAGGCCTCTGTGATCCTGGATGGACTGAGCCACACAGAAGAAACCAAGAGTAATAAAAAGGAAACCTTCAGACCAAATTGGCTCGAGAATTTATTACACTAACCACATGATTAGCTGACAAAAAGCATCTGCACAAAGCCAGGGAGAAGAGGAAGGGGTGCTGTGTGGGTGTGGGGTAACCCAGCCTTGTCATAGGTCCTGTCTACCTTTGTGTCAAAGCTGCCTCTTAAACAGAGGTTAATCTATTTCCTTTATCAAATTCTTCTGCTGGCAGACAAGTAGGATAATGTCACAGTCACTGATCTGTGTGACCTGAGCTTTGTCCCTTTGGACACCAAGAGGCTCCAGTGCCTTTGAGGCTAGTGGGCAATATCTTGAGATGGCTCCTCCTCCTCAAGATATCACATGAGGAAAAATGGCCTAAGAGATGTGTGATTCCTTCTTTTAGAGACCTATATTTTCTGCTTATTTATTTATTCATTCTGCAGTGCTGGGTGGGAGCAGGGCTTCATGCATGTCAGGAGAGAGCTCACCACTGAGCTGCACCCCATCTTGGAGACCTATCATCTTTTGAAAATGACAAAGGAAAAGGGGATCCAGCCTGGCATTTTGATTGAGGGCCTCAGGACTTAAGCTGGTCGTCCTAGCTAGAATTTCCTGGGCACTTTATGCCAGCAACTGTATCAAGTGTATTTAAACATCAACTATTTCACTTCACCTCCACAATAATTCTGAGACTGGTGCTCTTAGTGCATATCCAGGGCATTTTAAAACATGGATACAAATCTTTATAAGCTTGGACTGTTCCATCCAGAGTTTGGCTCTCTGTCTCCTTCCCTTGAACCTGAACAGACTTGGACTGCTTCTATGAGTAAAGCACAACAGAAGTGACACTTCCAGAGTCCCTCCTTACTTGCTAATTTGGCTGTTCTTCAAGCTATGAGCTGCCATAGAGGAGGCACAACCGCCTGGAAGCAGCCATATTGGGAGGAAGCCCAAGCCACAAATCAGGTCCACACGCGAGTATGATACTCAATCTCTCCGCTGAGCCCAGACTTTGACTTCTCCAGCCAGGCACCAGACATGTGAGTAAAGAAACCTCCAGCTCATATCAGAGGTCAGCAAACTTTTTCTGTAAAGAACCTGACAGTAAATATGTCAGGCTTCACAGTCCACACCATTCCTGGCATGACCTCTTAACTCTGTGATTGCAGTAGTACCAAGGCAGTCACAGACAATCTAAGGGTGGCTATGTTCCAATATGATTTATTAAAATGTCAGATGGTGGGCTAGACTTGACCTGTGGGCTATAATGTGCCAATACAGGAGTTTTCTCAGTTGAATCCCTGGACATCACAGAGCAAAGACACTCTTGTCCCTTTATGGTCTATCCCAGCTCCAAACCCACAGATTCGGAGCATCATACCAGAATGCTGTTATAAACTAAGATTGGGATAGTTTGCAGGGCAACTGCGATAACGGAACCACCCCCATTTCACACATAGAAAAACTGCAAGCCAGAGTCTTTAAATTACTTGTCCAAACTTTCACAGCCAGTGGGTCAAGGAAGCCAAGGCTGGATGCCAGGTTTTCCTGACTCTAGAGGCCGAGGTCACTTATCTGCTAGATGGATGTCACAAGGAGCCAGATGGTGAATGGCTCTGAGATCTAGGAGTAAAAACTGTGGATGAGAGTGTGAGAGCAAACAGACATCTGGGTTTGGCGGGGAAGCATGGAGGGAGAGATCAGAGATGGGGGAGGGACCCAATTCTGCAGGGATTTGCGGGCTGCAGTGGAGAATCTGATTTGTTTTCTGAAAGCCATAGAAAGCCATTGGATGGCATTTCAGCACAGAGTGACAAGGTTCCAATTGCATGAAGAATCATTCTGGCTGCTGTGTGGACTGGGGAGGGGCCATCCCTCTCTAGCCTTCCTGAGAAGCCAGACCGGAAGGTCCACCGCCATCCAGATGCTCAGCCGGGACCTGACTCAAACCCATGACCTCCCCGTCTCCAGGCTGCTTCGCTCTTTACCCACTTCAAACACAAGGCAGGAAGGGAAAGGGTCCAGAGGGGCCTCCTGTAGAGGGAAAGCCAGCAAACTGGCCACCGCTCACAGCTCAGGGCCCCTACAGATCTCTGCCCACGGGTCTCCACCAGAAGCTGAGGACCAGATGCCCTGCCCTTAGTCCAACAGATGCTCAGAAAGCCAGGAACCATCTGTGCAGCTCATCCGGGCAGATGGGGAGACGTCTCTCGGAGCAGAACAGGCAGGATCTGAGCCGCCGGGGAAGCTCCCTGGTGGCTTCTGTTCCCATGCCTGGTGTCCCATCCCTGCACACGCATGCATCCGGTTCCCTGTGTCCTCTCTTTAAATTAGACAGACTCCTGGCTCATACGTCTCTGCGGATTGCTGGATGCCCCCCCACCCAAGCCCTAGCGCCCACACGGGCTGCCAGGTGAGCGCTGCACTCCCGGGTCAACCTGCCCTCTCTCCCGCCCACCACCTGGTAGTGCCAGCCCCACATGCCCCTCCCAGCCGATGCCCAGCCTCACCTTGTTGATTTTGTTGGTTTTGGGGAGAGTCTGACTGATGTGCAGGTCCGAATACCGAGGTGGCTTCCGTACAGGGTTGTTGATGTCACACGGGACCGACTCTGTCCGGACCAACCTTGCCGGATCCGTAGGGGTAAAAGCAATGATTTGAGAGTTTAAGTATCACTTTGGTTTTGATCAGGCCCGGAGAGCAGAGTTGAGAACCCACTTCGAGGACCCGCCCCAACCGTGGAAGTGACAGTCACTGTGATCAGATCCGGGTGCTCTCTGAGGTTCCTCAACTTTTTGTATTGTCAATTCATGACTCTTGGCAATAAAAAATGATTATCAAAACCCCCCACCCGCACCACCACTGTTTCATATTGACACTCATCTCAGAATTGAACCTCACTTAAAATACAAGAAGGTCCTGATTTCTCGGGGCCGATGATTCACAGACAAGCTCATGAGACCGCCGTCCCTGCATTCTTGACCATTGTGTTAGGATCACCTTTTGTTACTTTCTGGATTTAGCAGGACTAAGCAGCCTGTTGCACGTCCACCCTTTGTTCTAGTAACCATGGAACCCTAAAAGAAAGACTCAGCTCGCCCAGCACCCCTTGGGATCATGCCCAAAGCCACATAGGAAGCTGAGCATACAAGCAATGCTCAATAAATGCGTCTGACTCCAGATCACATCATCAGTCCCCGCTCCCCTTTGGTGAGGGACAACAGGGAGAAGCGGAGAATGAGAACCGGATGATGCCTGGCAGTGGCTCTCTGTTAGATGCGAAGGCGCCAGGGCTGGTGGGGGAGGGGAGCGGGTGGAGAAGTTAAAGCCTTGCACTGACCCAGGGATGTAATTTCTCTGCTCAGCCTGAGCTGTCATCACCATGGAAACAGACTATTTTCTACTTCCCCCCAACAGTGGGGAGAAGGAAGAAACTGGCCGACTTCTGGAAAGTTCAGTTTGCTTGTGCCTGTGGTCTTGGAACACAAGGGGCATGACAGTGAAGGTGGGTGGGAGGGAGCCTTTCTCCAAATGCCAGCCTCTGAGTGCAGGTCACCTTCCAGCAGGTTGGGTCTCGCCTCGTGGAGTCCGTGGGGCTCCAGCAGGACCCACCATGCAGAGGAATTGGGTGGGCGGAGAATTCCCCAAGGAAGCTGACCCCCACGCCCAGGAGCTCAGGGGCTGTGAGGATTCAGGTTTCAAAATAGCCTCACTGAGTGCACCCAGTTACTCCAGGAACAGATGGTTCTTAATTAAGGATGCGGGGAGGGGAAGGAGAAGAAAGTTCAATTCTGTTCCTTTGCTTCTCTCTTCCAGGAGATCAATGTTGCAAAGATCATCAAAAACCAACTGCCTGTTGGCATCGAGACTGCTTTGGGTAGCAATTTGCCTCCTTCTTTAAGTTTCCCTTGGATTTCTTCTAAAATTAGGCAGCTTCCCCTGAGCATGCTCTAACCAAGGCCAGGGATATGGGAGAATGAGGAGGAAAGATCCGATTAGCAGCTTGCTGTACCTGAAAGTCGCTTCCTGGTGGCTCTAAGGTGCTGCTCAGTGTCTACATGGGGTGGTGGCAGAGATGCAGCCAGAAAGAATTTTAAATATTTAATGAGTTGCTAACAGTTACAAACAAGAATACGGCCCATAAAACCTCTCTCTCTGGGCTTTGGTTTGAAACATCTAAGGCGTTGGCAATACAGGTCTGCACTGTGCTGGAGTGGCCAGGCTCCAGACAGCACGCACCCACGCTTTCCAGCTGCCATGGCCCCATGTGGCTGGCTCCTCTCCTCTCGTGTAGGATGCTGGCTTGGCCCTCACATGCCTCCAAGTTTGCATACAACTCCTGTTTGTGAGCAACGCTTTTCAACTTTAAAGGACACGGAAAAGCCTTCCAAATACTATTGCAAATGTGGATTCTGATTCAGCAGGTGTGGGGTGGGGCCAGAAATGGTGCATTTCTAAAATGCTCCCAGGTGATCCCAGGCTGCTGGTCCGTGGACTGTGCTGTGAATGGCAAGGGTTTGGACCACGAAGCCCAGGAGAAGTTTCTGCAGTGAGGAAAATGCTCCAATCTGCCCCATCCAATATGGCAGCCACATGGGGCTGCAGAGCTCTTGAAGTGTGGTTGGTGGGGACTGAGTAATTAAATTCGTATTTTAATGTCATTTTAGTTAATCTAAACTTAAATAGTCAGATGTGGTTGGGAGCTACATTGTTGGTCAGCACAGGCCTAGACAGTCCCCCAGGGATGAACTGCAATATGGATGATGGAGTCTGAGGATAAGGACTCCAAAGGGCAAGAATCGGGGCGGGGAACGGAGTTTAAAAACTGGACTAGCAGGCTTTGCAAAGAGTTGGCCCCTATCGAGTCCTTGGCAGGCAGGGGAAATGCCTTTTCTTCCAGCTAAATGGGTCTTGCTTTTGCAACACTGAAAGGCTGGTAATAACCTTCTGGTCTGGTCAGATTGGCCCCAGAGAGTGACATACAGATGGCCCAAACCAACAGATCGGAGTCACACCCCTCCTCAGGCACACTCCTGCAAGGCCAAAGGATTGAGTGTGGAGAGCACCTCACGGGCAAACCCTCGGCCAGCACTGTTTCCAGGAGGGAAGGAAGAGCAACAGAATTGGGGAAGGAGAAGAGAGCAGAAATTATGGGAGGTGGGGGGAGGGGTGGTGAACCCGTGGGCTGAATATCAGAGGGACCGGGATAAAAGCAAGGAACAGGGAGGACAGACCTACAGCATGGATAAAGGACACAGCTGTCAGGAAGAAGATGCCCAGGAAGCAGAAGGTGTCTGGAATCATGCCAGGTGGGGTGGCTATTTTGGATGGTCTGCAGGAGCACCCCCACCCAGGGCAGCGAGGGTTAGATACTTACCACCCCGGTGGATGATGAGGAGGTGACAGGGCGGGGCTTCTTTGGTGCATTTGTTGTGGCACTTTAACCTGAGAAAAAAGAGAGAAAGAGAGATGGGTGGATGACTGGGCAGGTGAACTGATGGACAGGATGGAGGAGTGAGTGGATTAGTGGAAGGATGGACAGATGGATGGAGGAATGTGTGGGTGAGTGTATGGATGGGTGAGTGGGTAGATAGATGGAGGAGTGGAGGGAGAGGTGAAGAGATGAAGGGAGGGATGAATGGATGAGTGGATGAATGGCTAATTGGAAGGATGAATGGATGGATGTATGGATGAGTGGATGGGTAGATAGGTGGATTGGTGGATAAATGGGTGGATGGATGAATGAGTAGAGGGATGAGTGGATGAATAGATAGGTGGATGGATGGATGGATGGATGGATGAGTGAACTGACAGGTAGATGGACGAGTAGATAGATAGGTGTATGGATAGAATGGTGGGTGGATGGATGGATGGATGGACAGATGGATGAATGGATAGATGGGTGGGTGGATGGATGGATGAGTAGATAGATGGATAAATTGGTGGGTGGGTAGGTGGGTGGATGGATGGATGGATGAGTAGATGGATACATAGGTGGATGGATGCATGGATGGATGATTGAACTGATAGATGGATGGATGAATGGATGAATGGATGATATGTGGATGGGTGGATAGATGGGTGGATGGTTGAATGGATGGATAAGTGGATGGATAGATAGGAGTGTGGATAGATAGATGGGTGGGTGGGTGGATAGATGGATGGATGAGTGAACTGACATAGGTGGATAGATGAGTAGATGGATAGATAGGTGAATGGATAGATTGGTGGGTGGAAGGATGGATGGATGGATGGATGGATGGATGGATGGATGGACAAATGAATAGATAAGTAGATGGATGAATGTATAGATAAGTGGATGGATGGATGGATGAGTAGATAGATGGATAAATGGGTGGATGGATGGATGGATGAGTAGATGGGTAGACAGTGGATAATTGAACTGATAGGTGGATGGATGAATGGATGAATAGATATGTGGATGGGTGGATAGGTGGGTAGATGGATGAATGGATGAATAGATATGTGGATGGGTGGATAGGTAGGTGGATGGTTGAATGGATGGATAGTGGATAGATAGGTGTGTGGATAGATATATTGGTAGATATGTGGATGGGTGGATAGGTAGGTGGATGGTTGAATGGATGGATAGTGGATAGATAGGTGTGTGGATAGATAGATTGGTAGATAGATGGATGGATGGATGGGTGGATGGATAGATAGGTGTGTGGATAGATAGATGGGTAGATGGATGGATGGATGGATAGATGGATGGATGAGCAGATGGATAGATAGGTAGGTAGGTAGGTAGATGGGTGGGTAGATGGATGGATAGATGAGTAGATGGATGAGTGGATTGATAGATGTATGTATATATGTATGTATGGATGGATGGATGGATGAGTGAACTGATAGGTAGATGGATGAATGGATGGATAAATAGGTGGATGGATGTATGAATGGAAGAATGGGTAGATGGGCAGATGGTGGGTGTGTGGATGAATGGAGTGGATGAATGAAAAGGTGCCTCAGTGGTCTGGAGGCTCTGGACACTGGTTAGATGTTAGATGGGGCAGGGCAGCTACTACAAAGACTGGAACCCAGATAATTAACTGTGGAGAGAGGCTGCTGCCTCCTCACTCTCTCAGCTCCATCCGAGTGGTCTAGTAGTGGATAGCAATTGTTCCATCCCAGTTCCCTTGTAGAGTTGGTGCGTTGAAGCACACCCTGTCCCGTTAGTCAGTACTTACAGTGTTGGCATTGCCATTCTAATGACCATGTGCCATTTACTTGAAGCCTCATTTTCCAGTCACTGTACTAAACACTCATTTGATCTTCATAACAACGTTAAGAAATGGGTATTTTTTTTTTAACATTCTCACGTTCAAGGTGGAAAACTTGGGTTAACCGGATTTGACCTGGCAGTAAACCTGAGTCAGTTGTCCCAAAGTGGGCTGTCACTCATCCTGAAGGCTCAAGCTGTAGGAGACTTGAAACCGGAGCTTCCAATCAGGGTGAGATTAGCAGCAGGTACGGAGAGGTCTTAATCTGAAGAGTTTAGAATCAAAATCCCTTCTTTGAGACGAGCCTATGATGTCACCTTACTTTCTCCCTACAGTTGCCTGAATTTGCCAGGACAATAGAGATGCCAGGTTCCTGCAGGCAACTTCATGCCCCCCCTCGGATTCCCTCATCGTGCTCAGAACCCTGACTTCCCAGAGCCCGTGGCTTCCCCGGATGACCGCCCTCAGGCTGCCTAGAGGGTCGGGTTCAACACAGCACCTCACAGATAGCATGCAGACAAGTGGGAACTCGGGATCTGCCTTCTCCTCTCTTCCCCTCTTGGCATTCGATCGCTCTCTTCCACAGGATGGTCTGAATATCCAGACAGAGACTTGACATTGGAGCTAGCTCCGTGGTTCTCAAAGTGGGGTTCCCTGCCCGGCAGCATCAGTACCTTCTAGGAACTTCTCTGGGCCCCAACCCCCAGGTGGGCTGAGTCAGCACCTC